TGTGCTTAAGAGTCATCCTCGCCATTGGCGCTGTCTCTGTCATCCTCTCCTTCCTCAGCCTCTTTTTCATCATCCTTGATCAACTCCAGCTGTGAGAAACAGACACAAATAGGATGGAGTTAGAGGCACTCCATGTGTCCCTGTTCCCCCCTCCACCACCTCTTTCTTTCCTTTCCCGTAGTTTTCACCTGGTCATCCCCCTGATCTTCATTATCATCATCATCCAGTAGGTCCCCCTCCTCAGCAGAGTCATCTGCACCCCCTCAGACTCCATCTTCACATTAGTCTCATCTTTCTTCTGGGAGCTGCTGCTCTGCTTCTCTTCTGACTAATCATTCTTCACCTCTGCTCTGTTCCTTTTCAACTTTTTCCAGGTTTTCCAGAAGAGAATCCATTTTTTGTTTTATCTGGGTCAACTCCTTCTTAATGGCCTGAATGTCATCTCCTTTTAGCTTTCCAGACTTGGAAGCAATCCTTGTTTTCCACTCTTAGAATTGAAGCTTTTGCCCCTCCGTGAAGTGTTCCCTGACACATGCTGGCATTTCGAGGGCACTACAGCATGAGCAATAGGAGGTGGCGGTGGAACACGTACTGGGAAACTATACATCCTGTCATCATAATCCCGCTGAAAGGCAGAGTCCAAGTCAAAAGAGGAGCTGAGTAGAGGGTACGGAGAAGGGCGTTCTGGTACTGACCCGTACATCTCTGCTGCAGAGCGTTTTACACCTGCGTTTCCTCAGTTCATTTTTGGCTCTGCAGCCAAATTAAAATCTAAACCCTGGCCAGCAATCATCCTGCCATCCTCTCCTGCCACAGCAGCCCGGGCATTCCTCTCATTAACATACTGAACGAAGGCAAAGCCCTTATGAACAGAGCAACCCTCAATTCTGCCATACTTCTAGAGGATGGCCTCAACATCAGACTTCTTGAACACAAGAGTGTTGAGATTCCCAACAAATACATGGGAGATCATGGAGCGAGGATCTGTCTTGGTAACATTGCTGGCCATTGCGACTGATGGTAAGATTCCTCCCAAAGCCTAAAAGCTCAAGCAAAGTTCCACTAGCTTATATGTTTCAAGAGATATGCAACTAAGAAAGAAGAGGGAAAAGAGATTTGATTCTGAGTTTCTCGCTCCCGGGTTCTAGGCAGAAAAGCCGACTGCAGCTGGAGGTAGGATATGCAGCTATAACCACTCCATCTCCAACTTTTCAGAGAGTGCTATTTGGACCTATCTTCAAATTCATAAGCCTATGTCTCCATTTCAAACTGGTATTAAACTGATATGATGATTTCTTAATTTCAGATACCATATTTTGCAATTCTGGAATGCCCACATAATTTTTTAAATGTATGCTAAATTTTTGTTGTAATATTCTATTAAAGCATGCTACTAAAATAATTTTATGTTAAAAATTTGACCCATTTTATTCATTTTCCCCTCAATTTTGTTTAATCAACTAATCATAGTTATTTTCAAATCTTTCTGTGTTAATCCCAAATTTAAATCCTTCATGGATCTGTATCTATCCCTTATTTTAATTCTGGATTATTGGCCCTTGTTTCTGCTTCACTGCATTATTAGTAATTTTTTGGTATGCTATGTAATCTGGCTATGAATATATAGAATCTCTAGAGTATTTCTCTCAAAATGTTGATTTTGTTAAACGATCAATAGGTCAGTTTGATTCTGTTGGTGTTTACTTAAGTCTCTGTCAGGACGAGGTTTTTGTTTTTTTTTTCCTTCCAATTATTCTTTCTATCCTGGGATATAGCTCTTGCTCCTAGCATGTGGTCCTTATTCTGGTAACTCAACTGAAAGCACAAGGGGTCAAGGGGTTTACCACGATCTCTTTACTCCAGCTAGTCCAAACCTTCGATGTTTTCCTGTGTAGTGCAACCTCTGAACTCTTGGAGCTTCTGGACCCCCAGAAGCTATTTTCTGCTAGGCTTCGCTAAGTCTGTCCCTATTTATAGGGAGCCTGTAGGTAGGCTGTGCAAGCACGCTACACAGACTATAGGTCCCTCTTAAATGAGGCTCACTTCTTTCTAGTACTTTTTCTCCAGATCTACTATATTCACAATCCTAATTCTCATCTTTCCTCCATGCAGCAAGGCTGCCACTCTCGTCTGGGGCTGTAAGTCCTTGTACTGAGGTTTAGAAAAGACTTCTAGGGGTGACTTGTGATATAGCAGTTAAGGCAGCTACGTACCATAAGGCCAACTGCTTGGTTCACGTCTCAGACTGAGTGGCTTGAAAAACACACTGGGCGGGACCAGCAGTTAGTGTAATGGCTATGTCACTGGACTCCCATGTAGCCAACCATGGTTTGAGTCTGGACCCGGTGGCTTAAACTCATCCTGGGTGCGTGTGCATGTGTGTCCGAGATACCAAGAGGACAATGGAGGAGAAGGGATTGCAGCATGGCCATCCCCCTGGGGGTGATTTCTCTGTGTCTCTCTGTTTGGTGAGCGCATGCGCCCTATAGCAAAAACCTCTCCCCCCCCCAAAAAAAAAGAAAAAAAGAAGAAGAAAAAGACACTGGGTCAAAAAAAAAGAAAAAAGAAGAAGAAAAAGACACTGGGCATATATGCCCAAAATCTCAAAGGGAGATATGGAGGAGAAAGGATTGCAGTGTGACCATACCTGGGTGAGGGGGTGCTTTCTCATTTTCCCCTCCCTCTGTTTCTCTCCAGCCAAGTGCATGTGTCTGCTAGCAAATTAAATGAATTAAAAAATTGTTTAACTTAATAAAATAACTTCATAAAATATTACTGGGAGAAAAATGCTGAATTAATGTAGGAATTACTTTGTAGACTTTCCAAATCTCAAGGACTGCAGAATTTCCATTTACTCTTTGTGAAAATTGTTGCTTTGTATGTTTTTCCAGTTTTACAGAAGTTTATAGTTAGAAGGTAATTCCACTATTGTCTACACTGCAGGAACCAGAAATCTTTTTGCCCCCTAAGGTAGCACTTGTTATATATTTTCTCTTTCTGAGGCAATTGTCAAGGCAATAATCAAAGGTATCATGTGTATCAGATCTATTGTACCTCATGGAACTTATTTAGATATGCTTGTCACACTTAAAAAAAGAATTGGGAACTAATATTTTCTTATCACTAATTAGTTTTGTGATTCCTCTCATTGGTCCTGATGCTGTTATCTGTATCCGTGCCCTGTGAATATGCGGACATGCTAAGTAATTTTTGTCCCTCACATATTCATTTTGCTGTGTGATAATTTACAGACAATTCATTTAAAGAATTTTAACTTATTTTAAGTCTTTCATAAAATAGTCACCTATGCACAATATCTTATCACTTGCAAATTACATTTTAGGTTTTCAATTGGTGATGGTCTGCTTTGCTTCTATATAAATATGCTGCCCCTCGAATTGGAGTACTTCTCTCTCTGCCTCTTTTGTTCTTCAGTCTGATTAATTTTTATTCAGCTAGGTTTCAAGCTGAGGTACCACCCAGCTCAGGAAGCATTCTTGAGCTGACATTTATTTGTTTTTATAATACCATTTGCTCTCCCAATTTAGTCCTCTTACTTTCCAGGACTGCTTGATAACGAAAGTGTGTTCTCCATTAGAATATATATTTAATGAGGGAGGAACTACTTTTTACAAGCTCCCTGCATAGCACCTAACAGGTATTCAATAAATATTTGTCGAATGATTGAATGTTTGAAGCTTGTGCATAATGGTGGGTAGGAAATAACATCCCTGCATTATAGGATTCTGAAATGAAGTAGAAAAAGAGTGACTCTCTTACTCAGTATGATAGAGCAAAAACAACGAAGAGGGAAATAATATAGATACTATTAAATATGAACGAAATCTACAATTGGGACCAGCAGTTAGCGTAATGGCTATGTTGCTGGACTCCCATGTGGTTGACCGCAGTTTGAGTCCCGGACCCGGTGGCTTAAAACTCACGCCGGGCGCGTGTGCGTGCGTGCCCAAGATCCCGAGAGGAGAATGGAGGAGAAGGGATTGCGGTGTGGCCATCCCCCCTGGGGGGTGATTTCTCGCTTTCTGTCTCTCTGTCTCTCTCTGTCTGTCTGGCAAGCGCACACGCCCTATAGCAAAAACCTCTCCAAAAAAAAAAAAATCTACAATTAATTGCATTGTACAAAATTAGAACCAAAATTAAATGAAACATTACAGAGCATAACATTGCCCATTTTTGACATTTTAAGATTTGGCCTTATGATTTTCCCTAACATATGAACATAATGTAACATAAGGATATACAATATTCAAGGTGAAAATGTCCACTTTGATACAGACCCTTGTAACTGAATTTAAGGAATTGTTCATTCAGTGATTCTTGACTTAGGGATTAAGATGTCAGGAATAGTTGTATTTAGGACAGACAGTTACTACACTGAGTGTTCATCGGTGTTACTAACTTTTTCAAAAGCAAACTCACTTTGATTTATCAAGTGTATGCGTCTCAAAACTATGTTAGAAGTGAGGAAAAACTGATACTTCTGCCTTGCTCTTGGATGTGGAGGGATCAAGGACTCTGCTGCATGTTGAGTTGTCTGCTCAGATCTGCCCAGAAAGACAGAATCATACATGAGGGCATCACATTCCACCTAGTGACACCATCTCCACAAAGATTTCCAGATGGAGCAGGTCTGCGCTTCCACTGTAGTGTTAAACTCATTTAAAGTGCTTTCCACATAAGTCAGGAGATAAAAGGTAGTGGGAATGCAGTCCTGATCCCTTGGGCCACTACCACCACCCCAGGGGTTGGGCTGCGTCTTCAGTTCTCATTTAGTGCATAGACAGCAGGTGGCTGCGAAGCACTGTGTCTCCACGGCACAGAAGTACGAGGCTGAGTCCTCAGGCTGAGCATCACTGATGTGTAGTTGGCTATATCGTTCCTTGGTGTTGACTGTGCATTTGAGTCTTCCATTGTGCTTTGTTCCTGAAGCTATGTAAAACAAGGATATGAGGCGTCCTCCAGGACTTTGCTGGAACCACTGCATACCGGTCATGGTGCTAGAATAGTTGCATGTCAGGAAGGAGTTTCTCCCTTCTTGGAGGATCAGGACTTGAGGACTCTGCTCCACCTTCATCTGCGCCCTCACCCCTGTTGAAGGGAGAAAAATAAACACACAGGAGGGTCACTGCAAAATTAATTAACTTTTCCCAAATGAAATAAATTTCTCTTTAGTTTCCTTCCTCATGATAGAGGACACACACACAGCACAAGAGACCTGTGTTCTCACTCTTCCTCCATCTCTTCCTCTCCCCCCTTGTTCCATTCTAAATTGGCTTGTGCTATTCTTCCAGGTTCCCTTGGGGTGTTCATAACTTACAGCAGATCTGTATCCATACGAGGCTCAGTAAGATTCCTACTTGTGTCTTCATGATCCTTTACTCTTTTCTTGGGGACACCCCTTGATGATAGCAAATGTCTTCAAATATTACTATGTGTCGTATCTTCAACTTGCAACTAATTCTGTTCTTGTAGCTGACCTATTTCATGTGATAGATTCAGCAGCAGTTACTCCCAAGTGTTTTCACTCAGCTTTGTCGTGGGAAACTCCACCTACTTGTGGTCTAGTTTACCTTCTACATGCTGTGGTATGTACATGGATGTCTGCGTGTGTGTGTGTGTGTGTGTGTGTGTGTGTGTGTGTGATGAAGAGATTGTCTCTTTAGGTTTATGAATCCTTTTGGCATGTGTGTGCAAATTCTAGGTGTACATAGAATGATTTGTGTGAAGAATGAGAACATAGTAATTTAGAGAATAGAGAAACAGTTTCTATTAGAAGCCACAGATAAGAGATAATTGACCAAGCTAAAATCCAGGACATGATCAGACTTTCCTGAGTTGTGAATGGTTTATATAAAAATCATAATCAATTTCCATTTTTTATATTCTATATATCATACTTATTGAATTTATTAAAGTCAAATGATAAAATAGTTGTCTAGGACCTATAATCCATGACTTCTATGTTGGTCTTAAAGGTCTGTATCTGCACTGTCAACTCAACATTTAACATACAGACTTAGTTTTCATCCAGGGGCCATTGTTCCCTCAGGGGCCATTGGGCAGTGTCTGGAGACATTTGTGTTTGTCACACTGAGGGTGTGCTGCTGTCATCACTGAGTAGAGTCTGGGGATGCTGCTAAATACCCTGCAGTACACAGGGAAGCCCTCTCCCCCAAAGAGTCTCCTGGCCTAACTGTTAGAGTAATTCTGCTGTTGAGAAACTCTTACTGACAATACTTCCCAGTGAGAACTATGCTCCACCGTTTTCTCCTTGCATTTATTCTCCATTCTCCTCTTCCCAACTACACTTAGCGTGCTCTTTATTTGCTTCATTCTTTCCCTTTGCTTTTCTTGTCCTTAAGTTTCTGATCTTATATGAGATGTAGGCATGGTTTGGTGACAAACAGTAACTAGAGATTGGAAATGATTTGTGGACAAGCAGATAAAAATCTCATATTGGTCTCTGATTCTAAGAATATAGATTCATAAAACTAAAATTAAACTAATGTGAAACAAATTGTTCTGTTGTAACCTCAAACTCCATTTGGACTCTTGGAGATAAGAAAATAGAATTGGTGATGAGAAAGCAGAACCACGTGTGTGAGTAAGAATTTTCTGATCCGTACTTTCTTACTACCTCCTTGTCCCCTGGTTCTCCCATCCCCCACACCATGGTCTAATTAATAGCCTTTTTCATTTTGATTCTCATTCTCCCATAGGTCTAAAGAAACTTTTCTCAGGTTAGAGTGCCCCCTTGTGCTCTAAAGTTTGTAGTTAACACCACACCACATGAAGCAATGCAGCTGCCCCACCCAGGGTTTTTGAATGTGATTTTATGCACATTTCTTTTATTTTTAGGGAGATATGAAGTGATTCAGAAGCGTGGGAACTGCCCACTTTCTCTTGGAAATGATAACTCTGGACTCTTCCTACATTTCCCCCTTGGGACAGTATCTTATACAAGCCCCCTTATCTCTGTTACAGTACCCCCTTTGCTGATGCCTTCTTGAAACACGGACCTTCCTTTCCATCACCAACCTAAGAAACCCACCTGTGACCTACAAGCCTCCGTTTCCAGATGTCCCGCCTTGGTGGGCCAGACCAATGGAAAACTATTTCACTAAATACCAAACCTTGTCTGTCACTCTCAAAATTAAATAAAAGGAACCTCTTTACCTGATCACCCCAAGAAAGGCAGATATACCTTTCTCTGGGTCTAGGTTGCACACACCTGTGCTAAGAAATAAACTGAATTAATTATTTTTTTAAAAGGAAAGAAATGATAGCTCTGAATGGAGGTTGCAGGTCAGAAGATTCTTCAGGTTACTCCCTTGAAAGAAGATGGCTGTGGGAACTAATCAGTGACCCTCTGTTACCATGAGATGGAGTTCCTTGGTAGCAGGAACTTCGTCTTTCCGTATTTTCTGAATAAACATAGAGCAGGACATGAATGAAGTTTTTAGTATGCCTGGTGAAAACTGTGGTTCTCATTTTGAATTTGGAAATTTTAAAATCTATTTTGCTAGGTAATTCACAAAATGTCGTTAATCCTGACAGTAACCCTGTGAATTAAGTACTTTCTACAGTATTTCTGATATTAATGCTCGGAAAGTTAATATACAGTGCCCAGAGTTACACAGTCAATAAGTGGCAAAACCATAAGCAACCCCTACTCTCCACGGGGTCTGTGTCCCTTTTGAGAGAGAGAAAGAGAAAGAGAGGGAGAGAGAGAGACAGATAAATCCAGCAACTGGGGGAAAGACACTGAACAATCTTCTTGGGGAAATAACAAAATCTGCTGCCAACCCAGAACACTTCTCCACAAAGGAAGATGAGAAAGAACACAGTTTTATTACTAAATAAGCATTAAATCAGAATGTCATGCATATCACAGCCAGTCTTCTAAAGAGATTGCAAAACCAGCAATTTTACCTTTTATGTAGTCAAGCAGATGCAACTAATTGCATACAACTTCTCAAGATGAACATACTAGTCCTTACATAAGAGGACTGGATTGTGCCATTTGTCACACACAGTCTGTCCTCGGTTTACCTGGTAACTGAGGTAGCAACTTGTGTTTTCTAATTTTGTTTTCTGAAGGAAAAATGTCTCACATCTTTAGGACAGGAGGTGCATTTACAATGAGGAGCAAAGCACCAGCTGAAGTTAGGCTCCTACCTGGCAACAGGAACTGAGAGATTAGGGCACGTTCTTCCTTTTAAAGAAATGGCTCCCAGGCTCTTGAGAAAGCCCTGGGTTGTAAAACTGACAAGAGGCCCTTACTTAGCTTTTAAAAAGTTTTATATGCATCTCAAAGGGACAGAGAATTCACAATTACATTTTATATAATAAATGCCCTAAGAAAAGGGAAGAGTAGCATCTCTTTCTCTTTTTGTGAGGGAGAATTAAAATTATTTTCTTACTTTTAATTTGTATGGGCCCTTAATTCTTTTTTTTTTTTTTTTTTTTTTTTAGCCCTGTCTCTATTAAAAGTCTGAACTTTAAACAGATTCTTGGACTGATGGTTCATATCCATTAGCTCATTCAACTCTGGTGCCGATCTCATCCCCAGTAGCTTTTCCAGAACTACGACCTTCACCACAAAGCTCCATGAGTTTTCCTAATTCATACTTGGGCTTCTTCAGCGTTTTTACTTTACTTTACTTTTTTTTTTTGGAGAGGTTTTTGCTATAGGGCGTGTACACTCACCAGAGAGATATAGAGACAGAAAACAAGAATCAACCCCCAGGGGGGTGGCCATGCCGCAATCCCTTCTCCTCTATTCTCCTCTTGGGATCTTGGGCCAACATGCACACGTGCCTGGCGTGAAGCCACTGGGTCCGGGACTCAAACCGCGGTCAACTACATGGGAGTCCAGCAACACAGCCATTACACTAATGGCTGGTCCCAGCTTTTTTACTTTTCTGACAAAGACATCATGGAGAAGGTAGATGGATTGGCAAGCCTTTTCTATGTCTTTTCCAATGCTGTCCAGAATCAGTTTATTGACCACTTCTTTCAAGTCATTTGTCTGCTCTTCCCGGGTCATGATTTCCATCATCTTCTTCGGATTTGGTGAACCTGCTGATGCTGGGCATAAGAGGTCTTTCTCATCTGATGTGTTTTTTGGTAAACTCAACACAGAAGGGACGAAGCAAATACCCATCGGTAGTCTTGACATCGACATGTGCTTCAATATGGTCTGCCATTTATTGAACATGGAACACTTTTTGTCATGGGTGAGATCCATGCCATGGAAGTTAGTCAGGCAGTTCTTGCCCTGAACATCCTCAGTAATTAGCTTGAATTTCCTAAATGCGACTTTGTCTTCCTGCAGATCTGTAAGGCTCACTTCAAACACACGGCCCTTAAGGCCGTCAGACACAATTTTGGTTCCTTGATTCCTGGTAACTAGTGTTTTCCCAATATTTCGTATGTTGAACATAGCCAGTGCTTTCATGTCATACCAATCTTTTTTAGAAAATGTATCAACCACTTTCTTCTAGGCTCCCTTTTTGCCACCTTTCATAAGGTGCTTATTCTTGCCATCCACCATGGTGCTACTCAGAGAGTCAAAAGGGTGTCTTTCTTTTTTCAAAATTTTATTTATTGTTATTGTAATCTTGCTCATATTATTTTGAATCACATGTATCTTTGCAGTGTATTACATTTCTTTTTCCAGAAAGAATACCATGCATATCAGTCAAGACAAAGACATTACTATCCGCATCATCATCAGATAGCTTTATATCATTTTTCCAGATTATTATTATTGTTCTCATTATTATTTAAACATTCAATCACTATATATCATTTTGCTTGTAAAAAGAACTTACCCAACATGAAATACTTCTCAGGCCAGTCCAGTTGAGTGTGCCCTTAAAATCTTTAGAAGGAAAGGATTTTATATGATAAAACTTTCAGAAAATGCTTTTCAAATGGGTTATGAGGGAAGTGTAAGAAAAAAAAAAGAAAAGTAACCTTTGAAATCTAATTGTAAGAAAAAGTAAGATTACAGTTATTAATTACTGGCATGGAGATCAATATTGTCAATGACTAAAGGCCTTAGGATGAAAAAGTGTAGTCCACAGTCTCTGTGAATGTAAGAAATTGATATGAAAATTTATTTATTATTATTATATTTTGTTATTATTATTTATTTATGCATTAAATTGCTATACATCATTTAAATTGTAAAGAGATTTACCCAGCATGGTCTATACCATACACTAGGTGAGTTGAGAATACTAGACACACATCGTCAACAGGCAGCAAACCATATGTGTCCCACAAATATCTTACTTCTCCATTTTTTCTCAAATTTCCCTCCCTGCACTCTTCCACTCTCCCATCCTCCTTCTACTTTGTTTCCAGTGTCCATAACAATTTTCAGTGCTTTTATGTTCTCCAGTCTTTCAGTCTCTACCATAGAGTGCAGACAGTCGACATACTTTAAGTAGAGACATACAATATCCCTGTTTCATAGCCTGACTTGCCTCACTCA